TCATCCAAACACATGCACGCCCTGTTTAACCTTGTTTTAGGAAATTAAAGGAGACCTATTGTGCAAAGACAATAGAAAACAACAACATGAATGAACCACATCTAAAATAAAGTCTATTCTGACTGATCCCTGAGAAAAGGTTTAACCTAAAAACATATGGTAAAGCATTCATTAATACCAATTTGAATAGCTACAAAAGGAAGCTTAGGAAAAAAAGACGCTTGCGGTTTGTTCAAACTACTTATTTGAAATGAGCTAAATCAACACAATTCTTGAGATTTTTGGGGACAATTTCATTGTTTTATGTTCAGTTAAATTAGCAAAAAACTAATAAGATAACTTGGTTCCTTCATGTTATCCCAATACATTGATTGTGTTTTTGCAATGCAAAAATTGCAAACCAAGTGAAGGGAGTTTTTGTTGGTGTTTCTGTGAGAAGTTTGCATGTTCTCTCCGTGTTGGCGTAGGTTTTCTCCGGGTGCTCCGGTTTCCCCCACAGTCCAAACACATGCGCTATAAGGGAATTGATCAACTAAATTGGTCCTAGTGTATGAGTGTATGAGTGTGTGTGTGTGTGTGTGTGTGCGTGTGAATATGAGAGTGTATGGGTGTTGCCCAGTACTGGGTTGCAGATGAAAGGGCATCCGCTATGTAAAACATATGCTGGAAGAGTTGGCGGTTGCGGTTCATTCCACTGTGCCGACCCCTGATAAATAAAGGGAATAAGCCGAAGGAAAATTAGTTTGTCGCATACATGAGCTCATTTGTCCAATTTTCACTGCTATGCCAACATAAATAGTGAAAATAACCCATCGAAAAGGCTTTAAGACAAAGCAGAATCCTCTATGCTGGATTAGTTGGCGATTCATTCCACAGTGTTGACGAATAAGCTTAAGGAAAATGAATGAATGAAATTGGCCGTAGTGTATGAGCGTGTGTGTGAATGAGTATGTATGGGTGTTTCCCAGTACTAGGTTGCAGCTGGAAGGGCATCAGCTGTGTACAACATATGCTGGAATAGTTGGTGGCAAATTCCACCATGGCGACCCCAGATAAATAAAGGGAATAAGCCGAAGGAAAATAAATGAACTGATGAAATTGGCCGTAGTGTATGAGTGTGTGTGTGTGAATGAGTGTGTAAGGGTTTTTTTCCAGTACTGTGTTGCAGCTGAAAAGGCATCCCCTGTGTAAAACATATGCTGGAATAGTTGGTGGTTCATTCCACTGTGGAGACCCCTGATGAATAAAGGGACTAAGCTGAAGCAAAATGAAAGAATGAACTCTTTTATAAAACAAAAACCAACTCCGTCCCATGTGCTGTTTAACAACACAAGTTTAAAACTGTTATAGACACCCGTATGCCCAGAAAAAGGTTTCACAACCTTGATGAAGACATGCTTAATTCAAAGCCCAGGCTATGAACACAATAACATGTCTCAATAAAATGCTCTGTCTAAAAAGAAGCTGGATGTTATTATCTGACCCAGAGAAAGAGGTTTATTCAAGACAGTTATAAAAAACAAATCAATAAAATAGATCTGTCTTATTAGAGAAAACACGTGCAGAAAAAAACAAGGCAACCATCCAACAAAACTGGTGATTAAAGGATCAAAGTTTTCAATATCACATGACATTTCAGGTGTTATTCTTAAGATCTGTGTGTTTAATATACAGTATGCATTTCGAGAAAGAAACAACAACTTAAATTAAGTCTAAAATCTCTCTAATAACTTGTAGTTAAATAATTATTTAATTATTTAACGACAATTGAAGAATTGAAGAAGATTGAAGAACATCATCAGAATGTCATAATATACGTTATGATTATAAATAATTACAACACAAATGTAAGTGCAGTTGTTTATGTCTTCAGTGAATAGTAGTCATAGTAGATCCATCCATTATTAATCTTAAAGTCTCAACCTAATTGACTGACTGTTGTCTTTAGTTAATCACACAAACAAGAGTAAATGTACTTCGCTAGACTAGTCTGATGTACACGTTTTATTTTTATTTTTACTAAATATATTTATAGTATTTTGCACTTTGATTAAATGTGTTTGATGAGTAGGTATTTGTAATTTGAAACCAAAAATACTGGATATAAAAATATATATGATGTGTTTGTGCTCTATCACTGATTGTCTGTAAGTAGTTTTTGTTCACGCAATATAGAAATGTACACATGTATCATACAAATATTTAAAAAGTACAGGTCAAAATCAATGCGTAGTTTAGTTTTTACATAAATATATCTTATATGCTGTTAAATAAACACCTGAACTAGATAATCAAACTTCTGACAAACTAAAAAATGTCCAGACAGCTGTGTTTAGGCAAGCTGAGGTTAAACAGCCTCTAGGACCGAATTTAGATAGCCCTGTGATAAGCTGTAAAATATTGCTCAACTAATATTGTGACATTTAATTTTAACTGTGTGATGTTAAACAATAAACTAGACACTTTCTATGCATATCAAATTATTTTTTGAGAACTTAATTTGATGGTGTCACCAAAACTGGGGTCCGTTCCTGGTACTTTGCTTAAATGATCTAAGATGATTTGGCAGATCCTGGATCTTTTAATCTTGATAACTGATCTCTCGCTAATTTGGTTCTTCAAACAAGTTCGCGAATCATATTAGAATGTCTGGATAAACTGATCTGAGATCGCTGCGTGTGTTGTGAAGGACAGATCTATCGATCCTCCAAATCATGATCAGCAATTTCGAGCCCTGAGAATGTCACAATATTTATCACGATTATAAATAATAACACAAAAGCAAATGCAGCTGCTTATGTCTCAACTGAACATAAACAGCAAGAAGAAAGAGTAGTAGATCTGTTCATTAATCTTAAGGTTTCAGCCTAATTTATTGACTGTTGTCCATGTCTTTGGTTTTACAGGTTTTCTAAGGTGCAATAATTTCTATGATAACAAAAATGATTTATCGTGACAGGTCTATCAGCAACCAACAGTTAAACTATATCAAGCCATTATCAACTGGTTTGTCACCTCAGAAATGTAGATAAAGCAGTCCACACTGGATATATCAGCTTGTAAAATGCATATTCCTGTTTGGACTGTAATTGCTTTTAAATCACACCTTGGATGTGAATTACCCACCGATCTGTTTGGCTGCTTGGAGGATGTTCTTGAGCTCCTGAGTGGCCACCGGCTGATCTTTCTTCTGTAGATGTTGGGTGAAGAACTGAACTATCTTCTGCCATGTCAGACCATCACGGGCAAATATTTCCTGTCGTTTTAAGCGTTTGGTCTGCAAAAAGAGTTGCAAAATACACTGTATATATTTTGTTTATTTCTTTAATAAGGCAGTGCAATCAGGAATAAGTCATAATACTGTATTAAACCCTGCTACAACACACAAACATACAATATCAAGAAACACATGGGAAGAACAATGATTACAATCTGAGATTAAATTATTTGACTAGGAACTCCCATGAGACTCTACTAACTCTAAAACCAAAATCACTATTGTGAAATATTAATGAAACATATTCCACCGCATACAGATGGAAGGTACAGTAACAAGGTTATTTAAAAAAGCGCCTCAGTTTGTGATGTGTGCTCAATAGGTCATGCCACCAGGCCGGTAAGTAAATTAACACCACGCCACTGTATCAGCAACTCAGTGCCCTCTTAAACTCTCATTATAAGTGGGTGTTTGGAAAAACCTGAACCTTATGCTCTCTGTCCAAAAGCTGCAGCAGCGGTGGCGATAAAGAAATCTGAATTTAGAGAAGAGAAGATAATTTACGCTACACTGAGGTGTTCCACAAAATCCCAATAAAAGTAAAGCTGAGACAGAGTTAGCGAGAGAAACAAAGCGGTCATATAATACACTATGAATCACACTCTCAAGGTCGGGGAAACACGATTAAATAAAGTACAGACAGAGGACATCAGATTACAGAGAGACAAAAGCTGTTTTGGCTATTAATTAGAGTGATATAAATCTGTAGTCTGATATTATCAGCATAAAAGAGCACTTTGCAGATACATCTGAGGCCCTAAATCCACTTTAATCCATATATCACAGCTAATCCGCTGGTTAAATTTCGACCCATCCTTAGAAATGTCTACAGGTAATGGCCTTACAAAATACACTTTAAAAGTTGCTTGTGCTAAATTATGTACATCACAAAGTAATGAGGCTAAGATGTTATAAAAAGATAACTGTTTATTGTTTTTTGCAATTTTTATTACATCCAAGTCTCTAATGCCTTGACTTAATTTAAGATAATTTAATCCAATTACCACTGGTCACCTAAGACACATTGCTGTTTATACATGTTACGCCTACTGAAACTATTCAATGATTAGATTCCAAGACACTCTTAAAGGAACAAATATGATAACGTTACAACTTCCCTTGAGTTTTAAAATTTTTGATCCATTCAGTTGATCTCTGGACTATGGTCACTGATGACAATTGTGATCTATAATTTTTAATTGAAGAATATCTTAAAGTATTGTTATTGACTTTCAACTTAAATAAATAAATTAATTAATTAATGAATGTAATAATTTAATAAATTAATTAATAAATTAAATACATAAAACAATTAATTAATAAATAAACTAACAAACAAACAAATAAATAAATAAAATAATAAATTAAATATTGAAATAAATAAATAAATAAACAAACAAATAAATACATACATATATAAAATAATAAATAAAATATTTAATTAAATAAATAAATACATCAGTAAACAAATACATTGCTGTTTATACATGTTACGCCGACTAATACTATTTAATGATTAGATCCATTCAGCTGATCTCCGAGTCTGACGGGAGCATTTTAGCTTAGCTTAGCATAGTTCATTGAATCGGATAAGAACATTAGCATTTTGCTCAAAAATGAGCACACAAAGCATGCTGTATGCTCTAAACTTGCAGACTTTTTTGGTCACATTTATAACGCATCTTTATTTTTATCATTTAAAGTACAAAACATGTTTAGATGGATATTTTCTGCTTCTATAACCTTGTGGTCAGTTGTTCTGTAAAATATAAACAGATGTTTCAATACAGTGTTACTTTCTATGTGCATTTTTGTTTTGAGTTTTTACTGCAAATGTCACATCCAGAACGCTGGAACTGCTCATATATATATATATATATTTTTTTTTTTTACATCAGAAATGTTTTGTAGTCTATACAATAAGATTTTTTCAATTTAAATAAACATATTTAAATGAGTGTCCTATGAAGGGTTAATGTAGAATTTTCTGAAGGACTATGGTCACTGATCACAATTGTGATCTATAATTTTTTAATTGAAGAATATCTAAAAGTATTGTTATTGACTTTCATCCTATAAATAAATAAATAAATCTATTAATTAATTAATTAAATAAACAAACAAACAAACAAACATATAAAAACATTTATTAAATATTTAATTAATTAAATAAATGCATAAATACATAAATAAATAAACAAATAAATAAATAAATTAATTAATTAATCAAATACATAAATAAATAAATTAAATGAATAAACAAACTAACAAACAAACAAAAAAATAAATATTTAAGTAATTAACTAAATACATAAATAAACAAAGAAACAAACAAAAAAATTAATTGTAAATAAAATATTTAATTAATTAAATAAATAAATACATTGCTGTTTTCACATGTTACGCCTACTAAAACTATTTAACGATTAGATTCCAAAACACTCTTAAAGAAACAAATATGATAACGTTACAACTTCCCTTGAGTTTTACCATTTTTGATCCTTTCAGCTGATTTCTGAGTCTGACCGAAGCATTTTAGCTTAGCTTAGCATAGTTCATTGAATCGGATTAGACCATTAGCATCTCACTCAAAAACGACCTTAGATTCAAGACACATTTCTTACGACGAAGCGACAGAAAATAAAAAGTTATTATTTTAGGCAGATATAATCAACCTAGGAATGTCTTCTGAAAAGTAACAGAACACAATATGTTGTTTAAATGAATGAACACATTTCAACTGATGTGATACTGACAACCAAAGTAATAATGCTAAAAATTCTCAGGAATAACTTACTTTTTTAAAAGCATATTCAAACTGAATAGTTAATGTTTCATGAAAATAATGCACAGATAAACACCGACCCAAGCCATTTCCGTCCTCAAGTTTCAACATTAGTTGACTACAGATCTGCGCCTCAAAGTTACTATTTAGTATAAGGGCTCTGATTGAATCTCAAACCTCTTTAGTTATTAGAAACAACAACGCTAAATTAAAGGTCATTAATTATGATGAATTTCCAAGCCATTAAAGAACTTCCCCGCCCTTAAAATGTTCAAAATAAGAGCACTTAGAGCATGTACAATTATTCTGCCATGCCAGGAACAGGTTTGATTGACAATAAAATTAATATAATTCAAAACTCCTTTGCTTTCTTCAAAACTGCATTCAGACTCCATTCATTATTTGCACTTCCAGCAAATGTGTGCGCATGTTATGCTAAATATACGCCAGTAAATAAAGATAGGACTTAAGAATTTGCTTGAAAAAAGCAAACATCCTGCAAATACAATAGGCTCAAAGATAAGGCATCGATTAATAAAGGGAAAAAATAATAATTTTAATGTCCACATCAAATACACTTTATGAAAAGGATTTAAATAAAAAATAAATAATTTTTCAGGCTTGAAATATAAAGTATAAATTATTTGTGAGTATAAAATCAGGGTTGGAATAATGTGGATCTTCCACAGCCAACAGATAAAAAAACAGCGAGCATATTTTGAACTGATTTCTTTTATCTTTGCCATGATGACAGTAAATAATATTAGACTAGATATTCTTCAAGATACTTCTATTCAGCTTAAAGTGATATGTAAAGGCTTAACTAGCTTAATAAAGTTGAGTTCGGGTAATTAGACAGGCCATTCTATAACAGTGGTTTGTTCTGCAGACAATGCAAAACAAATATTGCTTAAGGGGGCTAATTAAATTTACCCTTAAATGGTTTTAAAACAATTAAGAACTGCTTTTATTCTAGCTGAAATAAAACAAGTAAGGCTTCCTGCAGAAGACAAAAATATTAGAGGAAATACTGTGAAAAATTCCTTTGTTAAACATCATTTGGGAAATAAAATTTCACAGGAGGTCTAATAATTTTGACTTCCAGCTGTATTGATGTAGTCTTACCTTCAGATCATAAATGTCCTGCGTTAAATCATCCTGTTTGCTGACGTTAGAGAAGGAGCGCAGGGCTCCAGTGAGCCGAGGAGGAGACATGATCAGACACAGCGAAGGCCGTCTGTGAGCAGGACCTGTTCATGCGGGAAACATGATGGATGTGAAAATACTGTACACAGTTCCTTTTTTATGTGACTGTAATGGGGCAGACAGTATAGATCACATCCATTCATTCTGATTACACACACAAACTAACAAGAGATGAGAGAGTTAAAAATAAGATGCTTTCTTTCAAAGTATTAAACACGGGATCAATTTTAAATTCATTCTGGATTAAAATCTGCAAAAACTAGAAGCTCCAACCATTTTTATTTTCTGTATTGTGACAAAGTTCCTAGAGAAATGGAGTATTAAATCAGAAAACAGTGGGTGTGGCTTGTTTTTTTTCTACTGCGAGCTGATTGGATGTAGTAAAGTCAGTTTGAGGAGAAGCATTACAACCTAACAGACTCCTCCTGCTCATCATTTCTGCTTGTTATCAAAACTGACAGCTGGAGGGGGCGTGGTTAAGTGTGTTAGCCCCGCCCGATAACTCAGACAGACCTAGGCTGTTTCTCAGTATGCGTTCTTGTCTTTGCGTTCTTGTATGCTCGTGAAACGTCATTAACCATCGCCAAAGTACAGTTCCAATTCAAAGTTCACATGGATAAAAGCATCTGCTATGACTAAATGTAAATGTAAGCATGATACACCTTTAAGGCTATGACTCGGAAGTGACAAATAAATACTAAATATATACAACATAAATAAATATCCTGTCACATTTGCATTAACTTTAACATACAATGTGTGCAATACACCTTTAAGGGTATGACTCGCAAGTGACACCATTTGATGTAGGAGAAGCTGACCGTGATTATAGATGCACTCTCTCCTTGAATTGAATGACTTCATGCTTGTTTTTGTATAATCTTTTGACAAGCTTAAAGGTCAGATTTATTATACGTGAAAATTTGCAAACAACATTTTTAAGGGAAAGTCTGAATGTGTGAATTAAAAAGAAATCAACTTTAGCCCAATATACCCTAGAGATTAAGATTTAAAAATATATTCACAATACATTATCTATATTTGTGCATGTCTATTGTTTATAGAGGTAAAGTTGATTTTATATTTGGATATTTAGACATTCTGCTTAATAATATAATTTCAGAAAAGTATTCTTTGAAAATAAGAAATAAGGAAATCATATTAGCAGCAAATAACCATCAAAGTACAACATTGTTCACAGTCAATTACATAGTGTTAATGTTGTATAAAACTCATACTTGCGTGGTTATTCTGATCGAATATTCAATGTAACATGGTAAACAATATAGAGACTGCTAAATGAACCAATGTGCGAATATAAAACTAACTTTACCTCTATCTATTCTCCTTGTCCTCAGCCCAATTAAACCTACAGCTTTAATAGTTTTGTTCTGCTAAAAACTGTTATTTAGAAGAAAAACACTTCAGAAATAGCTAGTTTAAGTTGTTATCATTCACACCAATTGATTAAAAACATGAAATTATAAATAAATTGTGCAAATAGATACAAAAAATATACAAAATAAATAAATACCCTGTCACATTTGCATTAACTTTAACATACAATGTGTGCAATACACCTTTAAGGCTATGACTCGGCAGTGACACCATTTGATGGAGGAGAAGCTGACAGTGATCATAGATGCACTCTCTCCTTGAATTGAATGACTTCATGCTTGTTTTTGTATAATTTTTGTGACAAGCTTAA